GGGGGGGGCCTGCAAAACAGGGAGAGACACCTCCCAAGCGTTAAAATGTGGATTCCCATCTCTTCAGCCATCTCAAAGGCGTTTTTTTTCCCCCCAAAAGACAACCGGACTTTTTTTTTTCCTTGAAGAGGTTTCGCTTCTCATTCCAAGAAGCTTCCTTCCGTTCTGGCGCTTCTTGGGATGAGAAGCGAAAAGGTCTTCAAGGGAAAAAAACCAAAGAAACCAAAGAAAGTCCAGTTGTCTTTTCAAAAAAGCCTCTTGGTTAACTTGGTTAAATATCCCCCAATCACTCTCTTCAGCCACCTACTTACTCCTGGCCGGTTTTTATGGGAACTGTAGTAGCCCTACTTCAGGAGTTCAGCCGGGTGTCCCTCCTGCAAGCTTTTTTTTTTAGAGGAGGGGGGACGTGGGAGTTGCACACACGTTTGCAAAGAGGCCTGAGCTGAATTTCCACCTGGCCGGAAAATTAATATCTACGTTTTTTAAACCGGATCCTGTTAGAAGTAGAGGCCGACTTGTGCCCACGATCAGAATCTTTGCTTTTTCCCCCCTCCCCTTTTGTAAGATACACCTGTAATTCAACTTGTTTTCTTTATTCCCTTTCCCGGAGGGGGAAAGAGAGAGAGAGAGAGAGAGAGAGAAAAGACCTTTTCATAACCTCTTAAAGTGAGTGAAAAAGGAGGTCAAGTTATAACACAACAAACGAAGTCAAGATTTATGGAAATAATTCCTCCGTCCCTTTTCCTTGCTTGAAACGTCTAAAGTGATTTTAATGAATAAGGTCTTTTAAAACAAAAAACAAAAAAAATCCGATTTCTCCTGCCCTGCCTAGGTTCCTCCAGAAGCGCCCATTACTCTTCTTTTGCCGCAATATCAAACGTAAAAATAAAATTATTTCTCTCTCTCTCTCTCCCCCTCTTTCTCCTTTCTTTCTCCTTTCTTTCTCCCTCTCTCTCTCTCTCTCTCTCTCTTTTGCTACCCCGCTGTAGCAAACTAGTGTAGGGCTCCCTTTTATTAAATTGGATTTTCAGCTACTTCTGTGAAGTAGAAATACGTTTTAAAATATATATTTTAACACCGACGGTGGAGAAAAGTTTACTCTAAATGTGACATGATTCTGTTTTAAGGGGTTTTATTTCCAGGACGGAGAATTGCTGTGTAAGGTTTGAGAAAGGTGAGCGCAAAACCACCTAGGCGATAATCTAAGATATGTATGTATGTATGTATGTATGTACCTATGTACTATATATATAGAGAGAGAGATATTTATACTTATATTTAGACATACATACAATGAAAAGGCACAGTGTATAGAAATTGTGCCTTTTTAAACCGGACTCCTGGGGAGATAATTCAGTTTTCAAACGCTTCCAATCTCTCAGCTCAAATGCCATTGTCCCAAATCCAGTTTAGCAACTTCCGGGACCCATTTTCCCCACCGCAGAATATTTCTCAAGGGGTGGGATGGGTGTGTATCCAGCCCCCTTTTGACATTGGGAAACAATTGGGCAAAAAGAAGGAAGAGCTTAAACACCTTACAAAACGGACAGCGTGCCGTTTCGTTAAGTCTCTCTCTCTCTCTCTCTCTCTCTCTCTCTCCACCCCGCTTTTACGACTTTCCTTCGGCTGATTGCAAAAAATAAAATAAAAAGAGTTTGCAGCTTTTTCGAGAATGAATTGGCTTGTCTGAGAGCCGGGGGAGGGTCGGAGGAATAAAAATAAAATTCCGAAAAATCTTCCCCGGGTATCAACTCTTTTATCTCCTGTTCGGCCGGCAGTTCACGGATCCTCGCGAAAATTCGCTTCCCTCCGAATTCAAATCTCTACACCCCCCCCCCGCCCCTCCCCGAGGAAATTTGCGGCCGGTTTTCTCTCCTCTCCTCCGCCAACCTTTCTTTAAACAACAACAACAACAAAATATCTGTTGATCCGAATGGGGGCTTCGCTTACCTAACTACCCGTCGTCCCCTGTGAATCCAAACCGGAGAAAAGCCGGTCATTTAATATTCTTCCAGCAAGCGACGGGTGCAAGAGAGAAATATCTCAGTGGTGTTCGTTTGGTTTTTTTTTTTTTTGCCATGGGAATTGGGGTGCTGGAGTTGGAAGCCACGCGGGGTACGCCAAGGAGAATCGGAGGGGATCGTGTGTGTGTGTGTGTGTGCGTTGTTGTTGTTGTTCGCTTCTTGCTTTACTGCTTCCCTCGCCTTCCTCCACCCACCTTAGATTAGAAACCCGGCTTGCTCTGAACTTTAAGCTCCTGATAAGCGAGTGCGGGGGTCGCGTGGATTTATGGCTTTCTGATTAGAGTCTTCCCTTCCTCCACCCCCCCTCCTTTTCGGAATCAGGCGACTGGGGTGGAATAAAAACCCCCAGGTACAATCCGTTTGAAAGTTGCCTCCTTCCCCAGACAGAAAGAGGAGACGCGCCAACTTTATCCTGTGCAAATATTGAAGCGAAGATCCTATCAAGATCGTCGCAAGAGTATTTGTTATTTCGTTTTCATGCACCTAGCTTCTCTCTCTCTCTCTCTCTCTCCCTCTCTCTCTCTCTCTCTCTCGCGAAGGTTGGAAAGGTGTAAGGAGGAAAGATCGCTTCCACCCAGCACTGGGGTCTGTGGGGGCGAATTAGGAACAGGGACCTCGAGCTGGCAGTGGCTGGACAACCCCCACCCCTCACCCCCCAAACGCTGGGGCTGGGCCGAGAACCTGCACCCCGGGCTGCCTTGAAGAAAAGGCCTTTCAGAGAGAACGAAAAGGCGGCGCCCGGCCTGCCCGCGCTCCAGTTCCCAATGGAGTGATTCTCTGAAGATAAAGACACGTGTCAACGGCGTAGGATTCCACCCCGGCAGAAGGAAAGAGCTAAAGTTAGAGACGAGGGAGGTGGGGGGAGGAAGGAAGGATGGAAGGAAAGAAGGAGAAAAAGAAGGAAAGAAGAAAGGGGAGGGAGGGAGGGAGGGAAGGGAAGGAGGAAGAGAGAAACACAGAAAGAGAAAAAAAGAAAAAAGGGCAAGGAGGAAGGAAGGAAGGAAGGAAGGAAGGAAGGAAGGAAGGAAGGAAGGAAGGAAGGAAGGAAGAAGGAAGAAGGGAGGAAAGGGAAGGAAGGAGAGAGGAAAAAAGAGAAAGAGGAAGAAAAGAATGAAAGAAAACAGCAAGAAAGGGGAGGAAAGAAAGAGGAAAGAAAGGAAAGGAATGGAAGGAAGGAAACGAGGAGAAGGAGGCAGGAAGGAAGAAGGGAGGAAAGGGAAGGAAGGAAAGAGTAAAAAAGAAGAGAAAGAAAAAAAGAAAACAGTAAGAAAGGGAAGGAAACAAAGAGGGAAGGGAGAGAGGAAAGGGAAGGGAAAGGAAAGGAAAAGGAAGGAAGAAAAGGAAGTCAATTGCCCACTTACAAATCCATGCTTGTCTGATATGTTATTGGTGAGCTTCAGCTTATGGAAGGCCACTGGCTTGGCCATCCACTGCTCGCCCGTCGCTGGACTGTCCGGATGGATGTACATCCTCTTCGGCATCTCCGGGTCGGCCTTGCCGGCCACCATCCAACGCGAGTTGTGGAACTTGTAGCGACAATCGTCGGCGGCCACAATATCCATCAGCAGGATGTATTTGGCTTTCTTATCCAGGCCGCTGACCCGAACTTTGAAAGGGGGGAACATCCGTCTGGAAGCGAAAGAAAGAGAGAGAGAGAGAGAGAGAGAGGAAAATAACTCGCAGCGCAATTCCAAGGCGGTGGTTCTTATTCATCGCTTTATTAGGAATAATTGTGTTTTGCAGCACACACACACCCTTATTATGCACCTGCCTGGTTATTGTCTAGTATTAAATGCCACAATTCTCGATCAATGTCCTGCTCGGACGGGGCTGAATTTCTCTGTATCCCCACTTCCTATTATACAGCACCCCCTTTTTTAAAAAATGGGGGAGACTTGCTTTACTCCTGAGTAACACGCCACTTTGCTCTTTTTCCTGGACGCTCCCCCCCCCCCATTTCAGGTTTTCCCGGGGGAAGGGTGTGTGTCTTAACTCCTCCGAAACTCTGAGCAATTACTCCGGAGTAAAGCCTCTTCCCTTCTCCTCCCCAGCCCCGGGATTGTCCCGGTTTTAGCCCTGTGACCCAGCCGGCCCCGGTTTTCTTCCTTCGCTATTAAACAAGCCTCGGGGGCCAAGGACAATCCAGACGAGCATTCGGGTTAGGAAATACAGGGAAATAATTCTCTGTAGGATTCAATATACATTGAAATTATCTATCTATCTATCTATCTATCTATCTATCTATCTATCTATCTATCTATCTATCTATCTATCTATATCTATCTATCTATCATCTCTT